CTGAGACTTTTGTTACCCCTTTCCTTCAGTTCTAATCCTTTCAGTATGAGTGGGAATGGAATTCAGGATTTAGTACCTGACGAAGCGAGTATGAGACCCTAGTTATCTGATGAGCATTCACAGCAAATCAGCAAATGCTTCTTCATTTGTGTGATTCAGCATGAATTCAAGGAAAAGGCTCCTCTTTTCAAAACAAGGATGCTTTACACATTAAATGTGTGTCTAAAGGATCCATATATTACCTTTTTAAATGGTCCAAAAGGAAAAGGAATGTCACAAGGTTGGGTTCTGGAAGCGATAACAATAGGTTCAACATACAGCTTTCCTTTGCAACAGGATCTGAAAGTGCTACAAGACAGAAAATAACAAAACCAATCACCATAGGCAGTGAACGAGAATTTGACTGACTGCATAATTTCCGAAACCAACAAATATGGATGGTCCTGAATGGAGCGTAAATACATCACAGGTTGGAAGGTCCATTGCACATCAGTACCCCACAGGATCTCCTTCCTTTATTTCACAGAGATGTAGAGAATCCTTTTCTCTCAAGCAGTCCCAGTGCTTTTAGACTTTCAGCCAATATGTTTTTCCCCTGCATCAAGATAGGACAAGGTATATCCACGCCCAACAAGGGCTTCCATGGGGGACTGAATGGGGCAGACAGCAAGCACAGCCTCGACTGTCATTCTAATCTCAATCTACCCTTCAGAAACCTGGACGTTTTTGACTTAGGAAAAGGCATGGCAATTGCCCATATTCGAGCTCATAGGAAGAACATGTCATTCCAACACTCGTTTCTGAGCTCCGTTTCACTTCCCTAACAGCTTGTTCCAGGCTTCTGTCCAATGTTATAAATACGGTTTTGTATTGCTTTAGGAGCAGCCTCCTACAGAACAGTGTCTTTAACACAGACCCGGTTATCAAGGACTGTTTCTGCCAGTACCCACCGATGCCCTCAGCAAAGTTGGGGTACAGCTCGTCTGTAAAGAGGGGTTCGGGCAGTTCCCGGAAGTACAGTTTCAAGGTGCCCGCGATGGCATTGACATCCATCTCGCTCATCATCACCGACACATCTTTGTTATCTGAAAGAAGGAAGAGGGGAAGCAGAGTAAAGAAGCTGCTGGCCTTGCATTCTGTCTTTTTCTCGCTTTGGCTCTCTTTGTTTATCCTTTGTCTTTGTCCAAACAGCTGAGAGTTTTCCTGTTTACCTTTCTCCAGAATGAGGTACCTTCTGACAGCTGGAAAGTGCTGCACAAACGACTGCAAACAGTTTATAGCTTTAAATCAAGTAGAGGGAACCTCACACTACTCAGGGTTAGTTGTGCTGTATCTGGAACAAGCCCTGCTTGACTGTATCCATATGCATTTCAACTTCTGTTAGAGACAACAATTGTTATTCCAATTCCCTGCCTCTAACAGCTTAGAATAAGAGTCTCTGAGGCTGTCTAACTCCCCACTGAGAGTAATTAAAGTACACAGGCAGTTCAGGGCTTGCATTTCAGTTTTGTTACTATTAAGAACAATAAAACCACCTCCTTTCCCTAAAACAAACAGACCAACCAGCAGAGCCAGCAGTAGCTTCAAGAAGCTTAGTGTAAAACAGCATTTAATATAAATGAAAAAAGTTGTTCTTCAAAGCGTGAAACGCCCTTACTCATACTAGTGAAGATTGATAAATTAATGTGTTTGGTAGCGTAGGGGAATTGAAAAGAAAATACAAGAAGGAATAAATTTCACAAATTAAGTGAAGAAGAAGTGCAGGGAGGGTGAATTTGGGCACCTGGCACAGGCCTCATGACAGCTTGCATCAAAAGACAGCTCGAGTGTGGCTTGAGCAGTCCTTGTACCATCATGTGGAGGCTGGAAGTAGGGCACGATTTCACTTTTTGTACCTCAGCAATTTGGAGGTCTTTCATCTGACTGATCTTGGATGCCTTTTGGGACATACATGCCATTCTTTTAAATGCAGCACCAGTACGGAGCCCTTTTCTGCTCAAGATCAAAGAAAGCTTTACAAAGGTTGGTCAAAATTATCTAATTTTACAACCTGTGCACATCAACCTAGACAGAGAGTTAAGAAAAGAACTTGGGAGCCCCGACCACCCAACTTCAGTTTTGTAAACACCCTTCCTAGTCAACCTTCGAAATTTTTCTTTGCTGGCTTCCTTTCACAAAACATTCTCAATTTCAAGGCCTCCTATTAATTTGGAGACCTCACAACAATGAGGAAATTATGACTTCCGATTGCTGCCGCTTGCCCTGAGGAAGGTGTCTCCCATTTACCAAGATGTGGCCAGGCAGGCGAACCCACCATTTCACGTCTCCTGGGAAGAATAACAAACGCATTATTTGATATAAGGATCCATCCTGTTGTATGCCTTGGGTTATATCTGTAGCTGAAGAATATTAATAAAACATGCATCCAGGGTTAAAATGATTCTCCTTGTGCAAGAATCGCTACATCCTAATGCTTCTTGGGGAACATACAATTAAAAATAGCACAGCCACCTGACAGGGAGCTCCCGCAGGTTCTCACAGTGCAAAGGAAAACATCAGACACAATTACTTACTGACATCAAAGGCAGCTTTCAAAGCTTGGATATCGGTTGCAACCCCAGAGACACGGTAGATGCCCACCTCCTCCATCCCACGCCGCTCTATCTCCTCCACGCACTGGCGCACTATGTAAGGCACCTTCGATCTCTCTCTCCTTAGGAAAGCCAGACAGAAGAGTTCAGTACAGCCCCTGCCCTCAGCGCTCGTCACCCCAGCCAGCCAGGCTGGCTAAAGTCATCCCATCGTTTTGCTGTGCAATCCTCTTCTGGAAAACGGGGTGGGACCAAGTCTGAGCAGGCAATAAAGACTGAGCTGAACAACTCTGAACAAGACTAGAGAGGGTTTTCTGAGTTGTCTCAGCCTGTTCTGCAGCTGCCCTGAGCACCTCGGCTTCTGGCCAGCTCCCAGTGCCCCTAAAGTCTGCAACTTTGCGCAGGTAATCAGAGGATTCCCAAACAGACCCTGGATACACAGCAACACCGTTACTTTCCAATTAATGCAATTCCATAGGGAGGAAATACCACACTTTCCAAACTATATAACAGAACAAACAGGTTTTTTCTGGCAAACGATTCATGACAAAAGATCAGGGGTTAAAATAATACAACAGGATCCAAAGAACTTGAACATTTCCAATTATGGAAAGGAAACCTCACTGTTTAATGGCTCTGGAAATTTGTGACCATGTTAGCTAACCACAGAGTGAAGGAGCAAAGGGTATTTCCAGAACTCAGAAAAGTGAAATGCTGTAAGTAAACGCTCCAGGTTTCAAAGCCTGTTTGCATTCTGGTTTTTCCCCCCTACAAACAACGAAGCTCAGAGATGTACAGCATTTCCTTTCCGCAGCCAGAGTCATCTATGCTACTACCCAAGCGGAGCGGACTGGACTGACATCCCTCAGTGGGTGAAGACAGGTGCGACCCACTGGCCACTTGGCTTTCTGGAAAACAACCAGGAGAAACGCGACTCATCAGCTCACTTGGTGACAATAGCGATCTTGACCCCAAACACCCCGGTCTGTTTGCGGGACGGCATCCTCTTCAGGCTAAACTCCCGACTGGTAAACTTCACCGACAGCTTCACTTCAACCTGAATAAAAGAGAACTGCTGTTACTTTTCAAATATTTTCTTTTCTTTTTTTTTTTTATGCTGCAATTAAAAGCAAAGAAATAATCACATAAAAGGTACAGAAGCAACTCTGTTTTCCGTACTTACTCCATTCATTGAGATGACTGTGCGTTGCCAGTCTTTGTCCTGCAACACCTGTGGGTCCAGCTGAAAAACATGGAAGTTACCCATGAGTCAGGAACAGACTTCAGAGAAATCAGCTAGCCTGACAGGCTTCTGTAAGTGAGCAGGGCACTACCACTTTCAATGTGTTGTTTGTTTTCTATAGGAAAACACATATTCCAAAGTTTCCCCGGTTTCAGGTAACAGGACATTCAGATATCGTGCGGTTCTCTAAGCAGGACTGATGAGGACTCACACACGTGGAAAACCCAGCAACATGGAAAACCCTCAACAACAAAGGCAACCTCAGCAAGCAAAATCAATGTTTGAAAGCCAATCACCTCCACTTTCACAGAAACAGAGACTGCACTCTGCTGTCGCACAACAGGCACATTAACAGCCAAATTTGTGCCATCCCACAGGGCCAGGAGTCAGAAAAGGAGAGGAGAGATTTCTGAAATAAACTCTGATTTGAAATAGAGGGAACTGTCTCCCTCTGCAGTTTTCTAGAGACAGGTGAGGTTGGATGAGTGTGAAATTACTGCACTGAAATACAAAGCCAGGCTGGAGAACTTCATAGCTCTTGGCCACAAAGCTAATAGCTTCCAAGGAGGACTATGGTCCACTGAATTCCAAAGACATAATGATCGTAACAATGAGATCAAGGAAAAGAAATATGAAGCAATCTATACAGAGACAAGTAACTTGAAATAAACCAAACCTCTGTCAGAATCTGACAGAGCTGACATGGAGAGTATCGGCCCAGATATCATGGAAAGTTGTCCTTATTCAACCTGCCTGTTCCTACTAATTTCTTTTTGAGGACAGAGACAGGAAGAATACCTGGCCCTGCTATTGCACAAATTCATTAAACAGAAACAGGTTCTGATGCAAAGCCCTGATCTCCCATTTCCAGCTTTGCTTGATCTCTCTTGAGCAGACAGCCGTGAGGCTGGGGAGCAGCTGACTCAAGCACTCAAACATCTCTGAGCCATTCCAGTGGTGCCCAGGAGAGTCCAAACACACCTGAACGCCTGAAGAGCAGCACTCAACTCAAGCTAGGCTGGCAAAAGAGAGAAAAGACCTGTCTGCATGGGGGCTTCTGTCAGCAATCAGAACCAGCCAAGGCAAGCAGGCTCCGGTGCCTCCTGAGATGGCTTTGTAACACTTGGCTCTTGAACACTGGGACACAGTAAGACCAGAAGGAGGCAACTGCAGTCGACAGTGTTTTGAGTTTACTGTCGTCAGCAAACACCACGACACTCAGTAAGGAGCTACTTCTGCAGCACAGCTCCTCCCTCTCGCAGAACCCCAGGCAAAAGCAGAGTTCTCTGACAGCACAGGCAGGGGCACACGTTGAAACAATGGCAGTTGGAGTATATTCTAGGAGATCTTAGATGTAATCACGCTCACCCCCTCTTTCAGATCAGCAACAAACTAGCCCAACGCTGCTGACAGCTACAGAGACAAGTCCCCCCATGCCCTTCCCCACTCCCCAAAAAAGACAACCAGCAGAAAGAAAAGTTTCTCCCTGCTTGCTCTTACTGCAGAGCCCCCAAGAAGCAACAGACAAGCAAGTCAGGCCAACCTTATCTCTGCGCACTTTGTTACGGACGTGAGCCCACAGCGGGATGCTGCCAGCACACACATGCTTTCCCGTTGAATTGGACCGGTTCCTGTAGGTGCAACTCTGGCAGAAATTCCTGAAGATCCCTTGTAAGGAATAGTCAGTAACCAGTAGCTCCCACATTTTGGGGAATGCACAAAGGTCCAGGAGGCCAATAGGCAGCAATGCTTAGCTTCAGTGCTTCAGCAAACCCAAATAACAGACTGCTTGCCGAGAGGGTTTGCTTATAACTCTGGCGGAACAGATCCGCCCCCGCCTGTGTGGCTGGCCAAGGTCCCTACAAGTCAGCCAGAATCTAGACTGTTCTTCCCTGGATTTCCGTGCTGGAAGTTTAGTTTCTTTCAACAACTGCATTCTTTCCCAGAATCAAGAGGAAACCATTTCTGAAGTGTCTGGCTTCCTATGAAGAGCAACCATGCTCAGTATTCCTGAAAGCTTGATCTCCAGCTGCCTAAGTAGTCATCTTGTTAAGCTGCCAAAACAGCCCTGCTGATAGACACAGTCACAGCCGATCCTCCAGCTCGGAAGCAGTTTTCCATATGCTTTTAGAATGGAGTCACTGAGACCGTATTATTTATAGCAGGGAGAGACTGCTTAAGAGTGAACGGGAAAGAGGGTTTTGAGTATTTGCCAGAAAAGTTAAAGGAAGAGTCCAGCAGGGTCCAGTTTCAGGTTATTTAAGCTAACAGGTATTACTGGTTATGTCTCAGCGATGACCAGAGAACTCCTGCCACTGTACAAAACAAAAGCAAGCAAATAGCTGTTAAAAGGTACGAGGCAAACAAAGTCCTACTCTGTCTCAAGACTGACCATCGTATGGCTGCAAAGGACTAGCAGAAGCAGTATGCTGGAGCTGAGAGCTCACAGGGACTCCTCCTGGCTGGGTAACTACTGGAGCTGAGCAAGGACTGCGAGTGTACCTGCTGCTACCTCTTGCTCCCGTATCCCTGAACCCTTCCAGGGCTGGCAGGACCCCTGCACTCCCCACCTGCGGCATGACTCCTGCTGGAGAACAGCTCGTATTGAAGGCAGACAGCTAAGGAGAGCAAGCACCAGGGAGTGGGTCTGGCTGACCCGAGCCAACCCTGCATAAATCACTGGCAATAACAATGGCAATTTAAAACAAACAAACAAAAAAAAATCCTCTCAAGATGCTTTTTAAATAACAAAGTGAAATGATGGAAGCTAATAAAAGAGCAAAGCAGGAATAAGCTCTCAGCAGCACTGAGTGAGACAGGAAGATCAGGTCTAACAGTCTGATAAAGTCACCGAAGGAAACAACAGAGCCAACAGGAAACTAAGAACAACATTTACACTTTGAGCAACCTTTTGGTCCTGGACCCTACAGATGATTGACCTTCTAAGGCCAGCAGGAGCAACAGAGGGAAAGGGCAGCTGCAGCAGACAGGTTACAAAGCAGACCAAAGACAAAGCGAGTGAGTGAGTGCGATGCTCCAGCATAGAGAGGGCCTGTGACAAATGGGGTCATGCTGTCTTCTGGCCTGATTTGGAGATCAATGACCTGGAAGAAGGAACACTGAGTAGAAGACGGCAATCTACAGACAGCGTGCCAAAAGCAGGCTGCTCCAAGGGAGCAAGAACGCAGCGCTGGCTTTGCCAGCTTGAGCAGGGGGAGGCACTGTGAAATGGCCGCCTCTGCACTAATTTGACAGTGAAATTTACTGCACCTCTAAACATTTCCTTCCAACAGTTCCTTGGTTTGACTGACAAAAGGACCTGTCTCATCTCCACTGAAACTGAAAAACTGTGTTGTTTCCATGACCTGTGCAAATAGGACAGACCTGCTAAAACCCTCAAAGACACCATCTCACAGGCTTGTTTGCACAGTCCCCACCAAAAGCACATGCTGCACAAGAAAAATACAAACCAACCAGTTTGTCTTTACTCCCCCAGCACCTCCATTCCCCTTGTGGCCTATTCTTTGGCATTTGCAGTGGCAAGCTGCAGCCCCAAATTCACTGATGAACCAAGCACACGCCTCCACCCTGCACAAACCCAACAGAACGAAGCAGCTCAGCACCACGGGGATTTCTGAGTGCAGCTCTCTGGCCCTCACAGCAGCTTCGCACTGAATTCAGACAGTGTACAGCGGTCAGTGAGGCTGAGTGTGCAGAACAGAGCGGTGGGGAACTGGGAAAAAAGCTCAACTACGGGTGCTGGTCAATAGCAAATGCAAGCCAGGCACTAAGAAGAAGGGAGTCTGTGCTCTGCCTTAGGAAACCACCAAAGAGAGTTCGATGATTTTTTTTTTCTCCCCTCAGAAGAGAAAACATATAGAAAGAGGAAAAAAAACAAAAAAGCATCAGTGGAAGTGAAATGCCTGGGAGCAAGGACTCAGGCAACCTTAAGGTTAGTGTGCTTTATGCTATTTATTCACATTACTTCCTCCCCTTATTAAATCTCCCTGGCAACTTTACACTCCATCAATTTTTAATTGTAACTGATGTGACATACATGTTGTCAGAGTCTCACTGCTGCTGGAAACTCCCAGTCCAGCCATAACCCCATCCTTCTCAAAGCTCCCCACTGACATGTTAATCTTTCCCACCATCACCCTTTAGACATGACCCATTGCCTTCTTCATTTCCACCCTATTTTCATTGCTGGGATACTGTTCTGCATGAGCAAACTGTTTAAATGAACTTGAGTGTGTAAAAGGTTTTCCGAGTTGACACTTGGGAGGTACAGCATGTGACAACCTGTTTTACATGGAAAACAACCTAGAAGTCTGAAATAGCCATGTGCACTGCAATGAGACATCACAGATAATTAAGCAGATAAGAGTGATTGTTTTGCATAGCAACAGAGGAACGGCGTTGCGCTGCTTCCATAGAAATGCCTGATCTAAGGTCATATCCTCTCTGATTTTCCAGCACTGCTGTGAGGGGGAAGGAAATGGTTTGCCTGAGCTGATCATGCAGAAAAAAAAACAACAAAGGAAATAGCATTTCTAGGAGGCACCAACTGGAGAAGACGGATCACAGGATGCAGTACCAGTTTACTCATGCAGTCTGTTCCCAAGGCAGAGGCCAGTTCTGCTGACATATGTGCCCACTTAGATGCAGTCTCAGGACCAAACATACAGACATGCCTGTCACATGAAGCACAAAATTCAAAGAGCAAAAGGGCCGGTCTCCCAAGTGCTGGGGATGAATTGCAAGGTAACAACAAAAAGAAAAAAAAAAAAAAGAAAAATAGAGAGTTCAAAATGAGGGGAGCTGATGCTTACAACTGAACTAAGCCTCATGTTTCCTCCTATATGAAGATGTTCATTTTTTCCTTCCCCAAGCCCCCAGTAATTTCAGTTTCACAGCATACCCAGGAATGGCATCTTCTCCCTGTATTTCTCATGCCTGAGATGTAACAGAAGCCCCCAACCACGTGTGCCGGCTAATTAAACACTGCACATCCAGAGCTGCCATTCCCAGAAGGTTCGATGAGGACTTCACTTCTACATTTACAGGAGGTTCTCCCTTATTAAAACCTCATGGGTTTATTTTTCAGGGATAAAACTTGCAGGTTGGCAAGCAATGAAGCTCTCCATGTGGCTATAAAACCAGGTAAATAAAATATTCCATAGGAAAAGAAAATATGAGCAATGGGAGCTATTAAAATTGCTGCCCATTCTTGGAAGCTTCTGACCCCATGGACCAATTTCCACTCTTCCTTCCTCCGGTGCCATTATGTAACGGAGAGATGTAACAAACATTCCACGGCCAAAACACTCCTCGTGTCCTTGCTGCATTGTCTTCATCACTGCAGCTCAGAAAATTTGGTGAGTCAGAAATTCCAGTAGTGGGAAGTTGCAGATTTACAATAATACGTGGCTTAACAATACATTGTGATTTAGCCAACACAGAAATTTCCCTGGTTTTATCAGCAGGAGGATGCAGACACGACTCTTGATGTTCCCAGAGCTTTTAACTAAAGGGAACTTGGGAAAAAAAAAAACGCCTCATCCAACTTCACAGACCTTGACTTTACACAAGGCAGATTTTGGCTGAATAATGACAACGTAACAACAACAACAACAAAACAGAAGGCTCTAGATACACTAGCAACTCTAAAGTAAACAAAATTTAATGTAAAAGCATCTGGGAAAAATCCTGAAAGAAAATTACTATAAAACCAGTGGCTGAAAAAGATGCTGACAGCATTAATACAGCTAACCTTCAGCCACAGGTTGTAATTTGATTTTATTGTTGCATGATTATGATTTCTTAATAGAGAAACGGTGTTTGCTTTAAAAATGAAAGTAAAACAGAATAAAAACCTTCAATAATTCTTATCAACCCAAAATCTTATCAGACTCTCTTATGACTTCTCTTTGCAGTTATTCAGTAGTGTTGAAGAGTTGTGTGATGGGACAGAAATCACTGAGAATTAAGAGAATGTTCTGAGAATTCACCAAGTTTCTTTATAAACTGCAAGAAGAATTTACTAAAAGCAAAAGAACTTTTGCATTTGCCTTTTACAACACAACAAGATGCAACTTTTGCACATTAATCATTTTGTGTTGGTTGTTTTGTGGGTGTTTTTTTGGTTGATTGGTTGGTTTTGGTTTTTTACTTTCTACTGTTTAAGTTTCTCTAAAAGAATAAAGATGCAATTAATATTCAAGAGTCACTAAAGAGTATTTTTACTTATTAAGTATAAAACGTTTTAACAGAATGCGTAAGTGCTGTGCATAAAAATGCCCACTCTTATGAAAAAAAAATTGTTAAAAATGTAAAAGATTTTATTCATTTTTTAATCATTCTATGCAAAAATATTTGAAGAATTTAGAGGGTCAGTGATTTCAGGGTTCTCCATTATAAGCACACAAATCTCTGGGGCATTTCAGGGCTGAAAACTTGCTCTTTTGTAGTTGCTCAGCTTCATGGAAAATAAGCTTTTGTTGGGAGAAGGGACATACAGATTCCTGATTAGCCCGAGACACGTACAGAGGAGGTGCCCTGTGCTAGCATTTATTGATTTGTACACGAGTTTTCTTTCCAACACCCACCATGCGCTTCCCTGAAAACAGCATGGCAGCCTCCGGGCTGCAAGGAGGGAGGGAAAGGAAGAGGCCGAATGAAACTCATTTAGACAATGAACCCTTCTAGAGGAAAGGCAAGATGTGATCCTGCAGGCTGCCCTCAATCAGAGCTGTTTCTGAAATCCCACAAATGGTCGTGGCCTGTGTGACCATCACTCAAGTGTTGGAGAAAGCTGTCTTCCATGGAGCGATGAAGAGTCCAACATAAATGGAGGAGAACTGGTGGTATTTTTCAGCATGCCCGAAAGAAAAAGGTATTTGGGCAGGGTCTCTGCTCTGTACAACGGCCAGTCCAAAACAAAGAACGTGTCCTCAGAGAAAGCATTTAAACACCATCCTAAAGCTGTGGACAGACAGCACAACAAACTGGAAGAAAAGGGGGAACATAGGTTCTCCATGTCATCCTCCACTGATGGTCTGATTTCTCCTGCACGGAGCTTTAGCGCTTTATCACGCAGCAGCTCCCTGAGAGCAGCACCCATTTGCAATCATCTCCCCTCTGTATTACAAATCTGACACACAGACAAAGTGTCCCATGCTGATTCTCAGTGGTGGAAGTCTCTCTCAGATGCAGCTTGCTGTCATGGACACTATACTCTGGACAAGACAGTTATCAGGACAATAAGCCTGTCTTCCCAAGCCTTGCTATCACATCAATCAACGTCCAGCACGTACAGGAGGTAACATTTCTTCCACATGATTTACAGAGAGGACAGGATATTCATGGCTTCCTCTTTTGTCACCAGTGGAGCATCCTCAACAGTGCCCAGGGCTCAGTGACAGTGCAGTTCCCATATATTGTGCTGGAAGTTCTGAAGTTAACAGGCAAATCGGAGATCAAACCAAATTTTCATGAAAAAGTATCTGTTCCATAAGGGTACTGAAGTAGGCATAGGGGACAAGGCAAGAAGGAAAAAGCTGCTGACTTCCCGTCTGTGAATCACACTGTGTACCTTGCTATCTGGAGAAAAATCTCCAATGCTGAGACAACCAGAAGGCAGAAAAAAAAACTCCGTTATGTACTCTGGGATTCCAAAGTCCTGCTATGTTTGGCAGTAAGGGTAGC